GGGAATTGTAGTGCTGCAATAACTACAATACCAAAAAGTAAAACTAATTAATAAAAGAATTTAACAAACTTGTGATTTGCAAGCAGCATAACAAAATAACTTCTATTTTTTGTCATTTATTTACAAAATTCTAACACAAAAGTATATAAGTGCAAATTGCTATCTATCTATTTTAAAAACCGTAAAAAACCGGTATTGGGAAACGGTTTCGGTATTGAAAAAACTTAGTTAAATACCGGTTTTCAAAACCGGTATTGAAAACCGTTGAAACTCTAGTGTTAGAAATAGAAACAAATTTAGGTCTGTTAGACTTTAACAATAGTAGTTTTGGTGTAAGTTCTGTTTTAAAATATTTTGGAATTTATAACGGTTACTGTTTTGACCAATTCTGTGGTACAATTATCGGACCAATTATCGGTGGTACACCTTCATTAATTTTTAATTTTTTTTAGAAAAAATCAATTTTTAAAATTTTGATATTTTTAGTTCATAGAACTCGTTTATGATTTTTTTTAAAATAAAAAATAAATAAATAAGTATCTAAAAACGTGTGTACTTTAGCGGTAATATGATTTTGAGGTCCTTCACAATGGCACAGCAACGCATCTTTAAACAAGAAAATTTCAACTTGTTTAAACTTCTAAACAACATTATCTTATTTATACTTCAGCTTTTTCTTTAATATATGCCTTATGTTTAGTAAAGGTTTTTAATTGACTCATGGTTCTTTTTGTAATGTAACGAACTTTTTCTTTGTTTTTTGTATTATTCTCAAAACGTCATTTTTAGCAAATGTGTCAATTTAAAAAATGATATTTTTAGATTGGGACCATATGTTAATTTGAAATTTTCAGAGTACTTTTGTTATTATTTGGTAATGGACCAGAATGTCAAATATGGTGTCAAAGTATATTTAATACTTTTTTTTCTTGCCTTTTTTGTCAAAAATTTCATAAATTTATTAAAAGTACTTTTAAAATGTTCTTTGCATCTTCAAAGCATCATTCTGGTTCATAACCTCTTCACATCTTTTAGGAATGTGAAAATTTTAGAACTAAATAATTTATAAAAATGTCTTGTTTTAAGTTATACCCACTTTTGCATAACTTTTATGGAATAAGTGAGGCAAAAGTTGAGAAATCAAGATTTCATATTTAAAAAAATTCTATCATTCTTGTTTCAACTTGCGTGATTTTTTTAATTTTGATTATTTTAATAAAAATTTTTCGAACCATGATTCAAATATTGATAAGAGCACTAAAAAAACGAAAAAGAAATAATCAAAAGATAAAAACGAAAAAGAAATAATCAAAAGATAAAAAGATAAGAGCTGCTAAAAAGGCTTATAAGAAAAAGCCAAGGAAAGTTATTTACGTGGTCAATTTTAAATTTGCATTAATTTTTTTTTTGTATTTAATTTGTATTTAGTTGTATTTAATTTGTATTTAGTTGTATTTAATTTGTATTTAATTGTATTTAATTTGTATTTAATTGTATTTAATTTGTATTTAATTGCATTTTTTGCAAAATATTTTTTTCATGCAATTTAAAATTTTTAAATTCTCATAATTTCATAAATGTTAAACTTTATAACTTGAAATTTTCAGGAAACATTTTTCAAACATATAATATATACAGTATTGAAAAAAACGTTTGCAATCAACATCGAACAATGCTAAAAAGTGTTCCTAATTTTACATGTCTTAAAAACGAAACGAACTATACTCCACAGCAAACAGTTCAGAAGTCTGGAGTCATAGCATGCCATGACATGAGCAATCAGCTGACAGGTGACAGCACACAGGCAGAATTTCGTTGACAAGTGCAATTTTGCAGCGGACAAAACAAGTGCAACTTTTTTGGTTTGTTTCATTTTCTTAAGTCTGGTCCGTGTCAACGTCACAAAAGTTTTTTAATAATCAAAGAAAGTATCCATAAGTTTCCAGAAGCATGCAGAAGCTTCCAGAAACATTCAGAAGCATCCAGACGCATCTAGAAGCATCCAGAAGCATTAAAAAAAAGCATCTAGAATCTTCCAGAACAGGTTCACACAGGTTCATTTTACTATATCAGAGACATGTAAACTGACATGTAATTCAGTCAGTATATGGAAGTAAATCAGTCAGTATTATTAAGACAGTTTATCGAAGCGAGTTTTATTTTAAGTGTTTTATCGAAGAACATCAATACAAGAAATGAAATACAACAAGTGTTTCATTACATCAATACAATCCACATCCAACCAAGACGTTGTGTTCAACAGAGCATTATTGTATCATCACAAAGTAAATGTAACACGGTAAGCCTTGAGAAGCGTGATCATTTATTTTTACTATTTTTATGACTTCAAGTGCAAAAATGGCTCCCGACAGTCCTAAGAAAGAAAATTATTAGCAATTACGTATGTGGAATGTCACAAAAAAGTATTTGTGATAAATATCGCGTGAAAAAATGAACTGTATCAAGACTATAGTCTTGATACGGTTCAACAGCATGTCGTCTGCAGACGACATGCTGTTGAAGCCGGATTGTTTTCTTGACGCCCTGCAAAGAAGCCGGTGATTTCACTAAAGAACTAGAAGAAAAGACTCCTATTTGCTCATCTCATAATGACTGGAATGTGCAGAAATGGCGAACTGTCCTGTTCAATGATGAATCGAAGTTCAACATCATTGGGAGCAATAGCATTTGCCGCGTACGTCGACCATAAGACCGTGAAGCATGGTTGAGGCAATGTAATGGTTCTGGGGTGTTTTTCTGCTAAAGGTCTAGGTCCAATACATCGAATTGATGGAATAATGGACTGTTTCATGTATAAAAATATCCTGCAAGATGTTATGTTACCTCATGCTGAATGATATATGCCAATAAAATGGGTTTTTCAGCAAGACAACGATCCAAAACACACTGCAAAAGTAGTCAAGCAGTGGTTTCAAGACAACCACCTATTGATGATGGATTGGCCGCCTCAATCTCCGGATCTCAACCCTATCGAGAACCTGTGAGAGATCGTCAACCGCAGAATTAATCGTGAAGGTGTTCGTAATAAGGATTAACTGTTTAAACAAGTCCAAAAGGCCTGGGCAGCGATTCCACAAAGTTTCCTTGATCACCTGATCGAATCTATGCCTTGAAAATGCAAGGTTGTGATTGACAACAAAGGATTCGCCTCAAAATATTGATAGCCAAATACAGCTTGGTCAACATTTTGTGGAGTTGCACTTGTTTTGTCCAGAAGAAAATCAACTTTTTTTTAATACTTTTGATTTATTTATTAATTTTCGTGTACAAATAATGAACTTTGTGATGAATAAAACTTGAAGAATGTTTTCTCTAAACAGTTACATTGTTATTTCTCTAAACTGAAAAAATGCAGCACTTTTATTTAAAGAAACTAAATAAGCTTTGTTTGGTTGCACTTGTTTTGTCCGATACTGTATTTATGAAAAGTATATAAAAAGTATATGAAAAATAGTATAAGAAAAATATATTATAATAATTTAATTTTATATTTAGATAATGGTTTTCAAAAGTGTCTTTTTTTACGTTGACCGCCATTATAAATTTTTAAGCCTTTACATAGATTTTTTTTCTCGCTCATTCCCTTTGTATATATATAATTTATCATTGTACCAAATTTTATAGTATATACATTAGTTGTTTTAAAGTCATTGTGTCCCAAATTTCTCCTAATTTTGCTCATAAAATAGTAAAAAAATGCTGACTCAGCTTTAAAAATGCCCATTTTGTTATAAAACTATACTTTTTATATTCGTATTTATTCCTAGTATTGAAAAATTGATAAGAAAGAATTACTTTAATAAATCATTTATTTTATACCATATATACATTGTAAAAAAAGTTTAAAATTTCTTTAAGCAGAATGTTGCTAAATTTAGCAACATTCTGCGTAAATAATATAAGCAGATTCATATTCAAAAGCAAATCTTTTATTGATCCATAAAACATGTGAAGTAAATCCGAATAGCGTTTAAAAGAAAATACGCTGTCAAACCGATTACTCACACCTGCCGAATAAACAGGAGGGAAGAGGAGGGGGGGGGGACGAGTCTTAATATACAGGATGGTCAAAATTTCAAAACAACTTAAAAAAAAAAAAAAAACGAAAAAGAAAACATTAGAAAATTGTTTAAACTAGAAGTGTAATATTATTATTTTTAAAAGATAAAAATTTAACCTAATAAATTTCTTCTCCTGTTAATTAGGCAAGTAAAAGTAGCCTTAAAAACAGAGTTAGCTTTATAATATAAAAACAACACCACTTTTTAATTTAACGTTTTTAGAGATTCTTTAACATAAGCTTACGGCTTTATATGAAATAACGTTTACGAACTCAATGTCTATAATATTTTATGTTTTATGTTTCGTTGTAAAAGTGAACGACCATTATCCAATTTCAAAGATCTTTTTACTTATAAAGCTATAAACAAATATGCTTTACGAAATAATAATTTATTAATTGAACCCTTTTGTCAAACAAAGTTTAATCAATTTTGCATAAACTATAGAGCACCGTATTTATGGAACAAAATTGTTGTTCCAAATTTTGATTTGTCGATTTCGTTTTCCGTTTTTAAAACTAAATTAAAAAACTATATTCTTTCTACTGGCAATATATATAAATATTTTTGAAATGTAAAATTCTTTTTTTTTACTCTGGATAATTTGTAAAATTATTTTCAGTTTTTGTTTCTTCTACTTTGTTATTAGTTATTTGATCAATTATATTTTATTTTATTATATATACACGTATTATATCTTTTATATGGTTCTGGCGACAAGATCATTTGGATCTTCTTTCAGATACCAAGTTTATATATTGTTATATTGTTATATTACGATTAATAATTGTAAACTGAAAAAAAAAAAAAATAAATAAATAAAACCGTGTAAAAACACACGGATTTTTTTATTAATTAGTAGCTCATACAATTAGTGTTTTTTATTTACTACTATTATTATATATAATTATATTAACATTTCGTTTGTAATTATTGTTAACTATTAGTCAATACAGACAAAATTAGTTTTTAATTATTCAACGCAAATACCGATATCCAATGAGAGTAGCGTTGGTGTTATTTAACGAAACTGGTATTAACCAACTTAGATAATAGCGTAGTCGTTAAGTAAATTTCTTGCATTGTTAAGTTTATCAACAAGAACTGAAATTTGCTCTTCTAAGAGATGCCATTCGTTACGCTTTTCAACTTCAATATTATACAGAATACCTAATAATGCAGGAAACGCCTGCCGAATAAACAGGAGGGAAGAGGGGGGGGGGGGACGAGTCTTAATATACAGGATGGTCAAAATTTCAAAACAACTTAAAAAAAAAAAAAAAAACGAAAAAGAAAACATTAGAAAATTGTTTAAACTAGAAGTGTAATATTATTATTTTTAAAAGATAAAAATTTAACCTAATAAATTTCTTCTCCTGTTAATTAGGCAAGTAAAAGTAGCCTTAAAAACAGAGTTAGCTTTATAATATAAAAACAACACTACTTTTTAATTTAACGTTTTTAGAGATTCTTTAACATAAGCTTACGGCTTTATATGAAATAAAACCGTGTAAAAACACACGGATTTTTTTATTAATTAGTAGCTCATACAATTAGTGTTTTTTATTTACTACTATTATTATATATAATTATATTAACATTTCGTTTGTAATTATTGTTAACTATTAGTCAATACAGACAAAATTAGTTTTTAATTATTCAACGCAAATACCGATATCCAATGAGAGTAGCGTTGGTGTTATTTAACGAAACTGGTATTAACCAACTTAGATAATAGCGTAGTCGTTAAGTAAATTTCTTGCATTGTTAAGTTTATCAACAAGAACTGAAATTTGCTCTTCTAAGAGATGCCATTCGTTACGCTTTTCAACTTCAATATTATACAGAATACCTAATAATGCAGGAAACGCTTTTGTTTTAAACAATGAATTGCGAACGGGTGAATAAATCACATGTCTAAAGAAAAATAAATTACTGTCGTTAAGAGCATATATATACATACAAACCTAAATGCATACATATATATAAAAACCTAAATACATATATGCATAGATGCATATATACATAGATGCATATCACGGCTGTTTCAAACCGAGCTTAACGGCTTCTTGTTAATTTTTGAAAATATTGACTAAAGGGGTGTTACTAAAACTTTTATAACTTTTGAAGTATAAGAGGTAATTTTGTTTTGTAAAAACAATTAAGACATCAATAAAATGTTTTACCTTATGACTTTTAATGCATTAGTAAAAAAACTTCTTTTAGTTTAGAATAAATATGACATATATTGAATTTGGCTAAATTTTTGTAATTTGATGTTACTTTTTATCAAAAAAAAATTAGAAAAATATATTCCCAATAGTTATTATCAAATACACTTATTGTTTGACAATAATGAAAACAGAAAAACCTTACTTAATTATTTAAGGTTAACTAAAACAGCCTTAATCGAATTGTGAAAGCAAACCACATTTTTAGCAAAATTATGAAAAACGTCGTTATAAGGGGGGATTAGTTGTTAAATGAGTACTTTTTTTAATATAGTTCTTGATTTAGAAAATTATTTTGAAACGCTGATAAAATCATTACATTACAAAATAAAGTTCTAATAATATGGTGTTAGGTAGTTAATAAATAAAAACTCATCAATTCTAATAAAATAATTCATGACCAAAATTGATTTAAAGGTTTTGAGTTAACCTAGCTTTTGGTAGTAGAATTATTTTATGGTACTTGTATCAATAATCTCTTCTCACAAAAAATAAAGTGTTTAAATATACACAAATAGCTGATTTAAATCTTTTGATAATTCGTTTTTATTTTCATTAAAAACTGTTTTATAATTAGTTGGTCCATTGATAAGTTCTTCAAGCAGTAAACTATCTTTGAACACCCAGATGATACTAGACTCATACATAATTCATTTAAATCCAGAAGAACATTTGGTCAACTTGGCAATTGTGATAATAAAGTTTACAACTTCTTAATTTATCAAGCTAAATTTTTACACCAACTTGATAAATGAGACTTATATTCCATTCTTTAACCAGAGAGGAGGTATGTAGAGCAGAGGTCCTGCGAAGGTAGAACTAACTTTTGATGATAAAAATTGAACGGAGATCTAATATATATATAAAATGTTACATATTACATAACAAAGGATAAAACGTTTTTTGAATTAACTACATAAACATACAAAATCATATCCAACAAACATACCAGTTGCTCTGATCACAAATTAAAATAGTTAGCTATACATTTGATGCTAGACTTTTATTCCATTCTTTAACCTGAGCAAAGGCATTGCATAGATATAATAAACTTTTGAAAATAGGAACAGAATGGGCATCTACCTAATATATAAAATCATTGTAATAAAAAATTATTATTATTTTGAACAAACATTACAGGAGTTAAAACAGAATAGAATTCTCTTATTTGTAAATTAAGGATCTTATATAATTTATCTTAGATGTAAAAAGTTTAATTTTTTTTAACTTTTCAAACATTTAAACTAAATTTGATGACCACAAACAAGACAAAGACCTTGTCTATAAAATGAATTTTCGCCACGCTCTGAACGCACAACACACTTTCTCACCTTAGAGGCTTGAAGCTTCCTATCAGCTTTGCTGTGCAATTCAAAGCGTTTTAAAACAAGATGCAGCTTTTGCTCCTGATTTCTAACTGAATGCAACTGCCTTAATTCCTTATTTACGCTATTATGCAAACACTCTCCCTCCTTTTCACTCAGCAACCCAATAGTTTTATGCAATTTTACAAATAGTGGCACATTGAAAATGAGTTCATGCATTTTTCGCGTGATACTTTCTTTTGGAAAGCAAGCATGAAACTCAATAGCAAATAAATTTATATATTGATGAAGCTCAGAAATTTCGGCATCAGAAAGAAATTTTCGCTTAAAAAGAATAGGTTGCAAGTTATTAAAAACACTAAACACACGTACAAATCTATTTTTAATTGCTTCATCATCAATAACACTACAAAGTTTATAGTGGTTTCTTAATACTATTTTACAATGATTACCTACAAATACATTACCATGGTAAGCTTGTCGCTCAACTTTCATATCTTCAAGGGCCTTATAAAGAGACCTCTCATGAGTCCCCATGCTACTTATAGATATTTTTTCTAGGTCTTCACACTCTATCTGCAATCGAATATACTCAACGTCTAAAACTTCGCGCTGTGCGCGTATAAAAGTAATTTTTTCAGAAATATAAAGGTCAAGACATTCTAAATCTTCACCCTGACATACTAAACACTCATACTTCTCTATATCACACAATACATTCTTTTCTGAACCACCAATAATTTCACAAAATTGATGGAACAATTTTTGGCACGTACCACACTGCACCCAATCAATGTTACAATCATATTTAGTAATTAAACACCTGATACTAGCACACTTTTCTTGCTGTTTACAGGTTTTTTTTTTATTGAAGGAGTTTAGAGATATGCATTCCAATTCAGAAATATTTTTATCAAAAGCTAACCAACGAGTCTGTAGATTTGCAACGTCTACAAATTGATTTCCTAATAAACGTAAAGAGTCTGCTGTTTTAGAACATTCAAAGCTTTTAGCAGCCCACAATTCATTCGTTCTCACATTCTCATTATGCGACAAAGACAAAACAGTTTGACAATCCAAAGTCTTACATTCCTTCAACAATAACTTATAAAGTTTTAACACAACTCCTAACATAATATGCAAAACAGGTGGCACTACATTATCTAAAGTTATTATGGGGAAAATCACAGGAGCAATAATTGAATTATGAAACTTACCTAGAGCTCTTAGGTTTCCACCTTGTCTATCTTCACACAAGTTCTCATTGTAAGCACTTTCCAGAGATTGTATTGTCCTCCTTAAGATGTTACAATTAGCAGGTGTGTGAGGCATAGAAGCATGGTTTCTTAGAGAATTCAACTTAACTAGGTCTGTAGAACTAGGAAAGCTAGCAGCTGAACCCTGGTGTCCCAGAACATCATCGATAAAATGAAAATCTCCACCTAAGAACAACCTGACTATTTTGCCTTTTAGCTTAAAATCTGACGACTGAATTCTTTTAATGTCGTTGGCATAATGCCCGAGAACTAAGGCAATATTCTCACGACAGTCTGAACCCTGATACATACAAAATAAATGAACATCATATACAGACCCTGATGATTTAGAATTGACAACTTCAAAATGGAATTTCATATACTTCCCACCCTTATCCCCAGCAAAAAGGAGCCATACCTCTTTGCAAAAACCGACATCAGAATTGAAGTGGTCACGAACGTGCAGACTATTGAAAACCTCTTCAATATAAGTTATCAAATTCTTGACCATCAATACAGGTACTAAACAAGGTGCTTCATTCGCAGATGGATAAAGCAACATGGACTTTACAGTAACATGTTCTTTACTAACATGCATTGTCCGCATTTCTTGTTCTTGTCTTATCTTGGGCTCAGATGGGAGAATCCTTGCACCAAGATTACACAGAATACGTCTTAGCCTACGGAATTCAGCCGTGGGCATCCTTAATTGGCTCTGCAGCTCTACAGCATCAGAAACACTTAACTGCCTAACTAAACCCAACTTATTTGCAACACAATGAAACATAGACTTTTCACAAGACACAGAATCACAAAACAACATAGACAAATCACTTTCCAAATCTGAACAAGCTAATAATCGAAGGAATATAAAAGCAAGTTTAGATCGTCTAGCTGCAGCATGCCTACCTAACTTAGAATAAGATTTACCATCTCCTAACTTAATGTAAGTATATTTCTTACCAACTATTGGCTTTTTAACTGATATAGTCTGTGGATTACTTAATTTAAACCCACAGAATAATTCAGAGGAACCAATGTTGTCATAGTCTAAATAAGAATCAACGACAAATAAATCCTTATCACTGCTAGCAAAATATTTGCAAATTTGGCAACTGTTCTTGTTTATATCACTGATTTTTGCATTTTTTTTTTCAAATTTAAATTTTTTTAGCAATCTTACATTTTTGGCACGAGCAGATGCAAATTTACGGTGTGCTGTTTTTAATTTTTTTTTTTTTAAAAGTTGGAACTGCTCCTCCTGTTTTAGCCTAATACTCATAGTCTCTAATTGAGAACTTAATGAGTTACAATGTGCGTTGAGAGCCTTGTTTTTAGAATTTAAATATATAACTTCAGTTTCCAACTTTGATACCTGTATTTTTAAATTATCTATTTGCTCCACATTATTTTTTTCTTTAAAAATTAATTGTTCAACTTGACTACTTAGTTCCTTATTCCTATTTAAAATATAAAAATTATCTGCATCTGCTGATTTTTTTTGTTTTTTTGTTTGTGGAGCTGGAGACAGTTGCATTTTAAAAAATGCTTCGTTTTTTGAAGCTTCAAAATACTTTTTAGAATCTTTTTTTCTTTGTTTTATTTTTCGGCACATTTTATTTAACACATCAATATTAGGCATATTAAACTCAATTGGCAAAAGAAAACTTAAAAAAGTAAACAACGCTTTTGGATGAAAAACTGTTAATAAAATTGAAATCACATTGTTAGTGATCTTACTAGTGTCAATTACTCGCTTTACAAAATTAAAGTTATACTCATTTTCCCAACCATCTTCCCAACCGATGTACAGTTTCAAAATTTCCCTCTCAGTTGCATACATCACATAAATAATGATAATGATATTATAATAATAATATAATAAAAGAAATTAAATAAAATAATATTTACAAATAAATACACTAAAAATAAAAGAATTAAGCAACTTATCTGAGATTAGTCGAATATCCACGAGGAAATAATCCACGAAACTTTGCTTTATAATCTTTATTGATATAGTAATAAAATTATAATACAAACAACTTAAATAGAATAATATTGACAAATAGATGCACTAGATAAAATCGGATTAATCAACTTATCTGAAATTAGTCAAATATCCAAGAGAAATTAATCCGCGAAACTTTGTTATTTATTCTATAAAATGTGTCTCGTTTGTTTTGTTTGTTTTCTTAAAATGCATCCGATAATCGTTGGGGACGTAACGATCAGAGTTTGCGTCACCGCTTTAAAATGTAAACAAGAATTTATGCAAAAAAAACTAAAAAAAATGTCGCTAAACATGCCAAGTTTGAAAACATATTTGATAACATAGCTAGAGGTACAGAAAATAATTTTTTGATTTTCTTATTCATATAAGGTTGAAGTATTACTAAATCCACAGACTTTTCAAAAATGTCATGTTTTTTATTCAAAACGAATAAAAACAAAAATATAAATGCATTAAAAACTAACTTTCTATATAAAAACTTGCAAAGTCTGTGAAAATATAGATAGAACAGACATTCATTAATAACTGTTCTAAATTTCAACCATTGACCATGTAGCTATGTTATCAAATCTTAGTTGGCCTAAGACAGGTTTTGCGTAAAAATCGCAAAAATCAGAAAAGTGATGCCAAATTATTAACAATATTTTTACAGCTTTCATTTTTATTCCGTTTAATGTAAATGTTTATTTAACAAGGAAAGATAGATCTTTTATATTTTTTTTATTTGAAGATGAAAGCATTTATAGAAAAAAAATACTATTATTTTAAAGTTAATGAATTTTTATACTTTTTATGCGGAAATACTTTTTTTTTTGATAAACTCGTGACGTCAGGCTCGCTTTTATATTGAGTGAAACAGCCGTGATATATACATATATATATAGATGCATATATACATATATATATATATATATATATATATATATATATATATATATATATATATATATATATATATATATATATATATATATATATATATATATATATATATAATGTACTGTATTGAAAATAACTTACTTAGAATCAGGCCGATCAAGAATACCTTCTTGAACAATTAGGGCTCTCTCAAATGCCATCATTTGATCATTTGCTCTTCTAACAGATAGAGAACTATAAAAAAATACTATAACCTCTCAGAACACCTTAAAATATCTTTATAGGTTATGAAACAACAAATTCATTTTTTAATAAAATTGCATACTCAGCAAGTTTCAAATCTTCAAGTTTATTATGAAAGTTTTCTGTTGCTTTTACTAACTCCTCAGCTGATGCCTTGACTAAATCTAGACGCAATATAAATATACACACATAAGCGTATAAAATATATAATTTTGAACTTATAACTATATCAATTTTGGCAGCTTTTTGGCAGCACAACATAAATATATATGAATCACATTAATTTCAAAAAATTATTTTTTTTTCACTCAAATTAATTTTTAAAATGCCAACTTAAGTGTGGACATTTTTTGGACAAAAAATAATAATAATAAAAGAAACGGAATTTATTTGTCCTAATCAATTATTTCATATGCAAATTCTGCCTAAAACTTTAGTTGTTGTATGTACTGAAGCCCCCCCCCCCCTCCAATGATGCCTATATAATGACATCACAATAACAGTATTTTATAAAACTTAAATTTTTTTTTTTCGTTTTCTTTCATTAACTTTAATTTTTAGCGGTGAAAAAAGAGCAATTTTAAAAGGTTATTAAGGTTTTTTTTTATATAATTTTCAAATAAATAAATTACGAATATATATATTTTTTGAACTTTGCTTTTCAGTGCGTTTTTTTTTGAAAAAACTAATTTTTAGTGCATATTTAATATTCTCAAAACTAAACCAAAAAATTATGCCAATATGTGAGTAGTAGAAATACAATTTTATTGTGGTTTAATTATATATATTTTATACTTATAATATATACTTCATTTATATGTAACCTTTATCAATAAAGTACAGAAAAACAACATACCAAATCTTTTTATTTGTAATCTTTGTTATTATCCTGCTTCACATTATTAGTTTGTTTTTAAATCTTTTATTCTAAATATTCTTTATTTTTCCTTTACTTCCCAGGAAACATAGGCATTTCGAACGGACTGCTGTAGTTTTGCTCATCGGTTGCTTAGTGGAGCATTAGTGGCAGCAGCCTAAAGTGGCGTGCCGATAATTAACCACCATTAAAGATTCAGAAAATTATTGGCTTGAGAAAATTATTGCAAAGAGAAACATTTATACACATTTTAAATGCGGTTTTGGTTCATTTATCCAGTGTAATGCTCAATTTTTTGAGACATTTTTTTAAAACATAAATTTTATCAATCATTGCTTTTTGCTCTTTTAACCAGCTCTTGTGTTTTGTCTCAGAGTAAGGTGATTAGTTACTGTGGTTTTAACTTTTTGTCAGAAATTTTTTAAATAAACTTGAAAATTGCATCAGATATTGTAATAGTTTTAATTAAATATATACTATTCTTAGTGACACATTTTGCCAGCGATCCTATAGAGATGCATTTTGCCAGCCTCAGCGCTTAAAAATTATTCCTCAGCGCTTAAAAAATTTGTCTATTTTTATTTGCTTGTTTGGATATTTATTGATAATGTATTATAGATGGTTTTTGTGGGTAATCAGAACAGATGTGTTCAAATTTCTCCATTTGATAAAAAAGTTGCATACAGTATGACAGTATGTACATTTTGATGTATATTACGTTGTAAAGTACTTCCAGAAAACAGAGCTTATTTTTGTTATGTTATTTTTCTGTATTTGACTGATAAAGTGAATTTTTATCATTTTATTCTGATCATATTTTATTAAAATCTCATTCATTCTCTTATATCATCTTACCCACTCATTCCCTTTTTTTTGTTATTAGTCTTGCTTTTTTTTAACATTATTGATCCTCTTTTGAGTAATTTTTATTTTATTATCTATATGATAACTTTTTGTTTATTTGCTTGTTGTTTTTTAAATTTATTTATTTTATTAAAGTTTTACTCCAATGATTAGTTTATAACTGAATGAGTGACAAAAAAAAGTAGGCAAAATTCAAATTTTTTTTCAATTTTAGACAATCCGTTTAAAAAACATTCTTGGAAATTGAAACAAAATTTTTTTTTTTTAAATTTGCATTTACTCCCAACAAGGCTGCAAGCAACCACTATTAAGTTGGGAGTTACCAGGAAGAAAAAAAAGAACAGAGTTATAGAGCAAGGAAACGGTTGACAGAAAACTTGAAAAGTTGAAGGTTGTATGAGTCAGGAAAACATGAAGATGGGAGAGAGTTCCAAAGGATTGATGTGCGGGGAAAAAAACTAGATGAATAAAAGTTTTTAGAGCATGCAGGGACAGATACAGTAAACGAATGAGACTTAGCTGAATGACGAGTAAAACGAGAATGAATTTTAGTTGATGGAACTAGAGATGATAACTCCTTTGAGCAGTGACCATGATAGTATTTGTAGAAAAGAGAAAGAGATGCAACTTTACGACGATGGGAAAGAGGCTCAGGCTTAGCAGATAGTCCAGGTCCAACAACATTTACAATGCGTTTTTGGACCTTGTCAAGAAGAGAAAGTGAATCGTTAGAAGAACCAGCCCAAATATGACAACAGTATTCCATACATTGACGAATAAGAGATTTGTAGAGGTAGAAAATGGAATCAGAAGTAAGGAAATGGTGAGCACGATAAAGAGAAGCAACCTTAGCAGAAGCTAATTTAGCAATCAATTGTATATATGGTTTCCATGAAAGGTCAGTAGTAAGCGATAATCCAAGAAGACGTAAAGAGGAGGACTCAGTAAGAGGATTGCCATTCATTAATATAGGAATGTTGACCCTATTACGGTAGTTGTTTGCAGTAAACAACTGGGTTTGGTTAAAGTTGAAATTCACAAGCCACTGTTAACCCTAATCTATTACTGAAGTGAGATCAGATTCAAGATCAGCTGCTTGTTCTAGGCGATCGAAAAGAGAAGACTTTTTGTCAAGACAGGAGTATAAAGTTGAGTAATTAGCAAAAAGAGCTACTTTAAATGAAAGGTTGTCAGGAAGATCGTTTAAGTATATAAGAAACAAAACAGGGCCCAGGATGGAACCTTGGGGAACCCAAGATGAGATGTGAGGAATTTGTTGATAAAAGACTCAAAGACCTTGCTAATAACAGAAAGAAGACTGATCGGACGATAATTGAAGGGGTCAGAATTTTCTCCAGAGTTTTTGAATATTGGAACTACAGATGCCATTTTCCAACAAGCAGGAAAACAAGACTCAGTCAAACACTTGTTAAATAGTTTAGAGAGAATTGAAGAAAGTTCTGGAGAACAATTCTGCAAGACACAGGAATGTTGTCTGGACCACATGCTGTAGACGAGTTTAATTGAGATATGACTTTAGCAACAGAAGCCGGAGTGATTTGAATGTCTAACAATGGGTCAACCTGTTTGACTGGAATGGAAGGAAGAGAATGTCCATAAGATTCAAGAGTGGAATTAGAAGAAAAGTTCTTTGCAAACAGTTCTGCCTTATCCCTGGGATAATAACTTTAATAAATAACTTTTTAATTGATTAAAACTTTTTAAGGAATTTCAAAGTACCAGTAGATATTTTGAAAGTGATGATATTTTGTAGATATTTTGAAAGTAAAAGTGATATATATATATATGTATATATATATATATATATATATATATATATATATATATATATATATATATATATATATATATATATATATATATATATACACACACACATATATATATATGCACATGATTTTCTTGTTAATAATATACTTATTTTATAACATTAAATAATATCATAAATATAATTTTTATAAAAAAAATTTCAGCAAAAAATGAACTTGTAATAGTTCATTATTTTTTTTTTCTTCGTAAAAAATTAAATTAAAGTAAAATTCTGAAAATTTTTTAATTATTCGCTGTGTGCTGATTTAAAAAGTGAAACTATAATTTTGTTGAAAATTGTATGAGATGTTTTCTTTTGCACAGTAGAAAGCATATTTAACTGCTCATTAAAATGAAAAGAATTTATTTATATAAAAATTTTTATTGATAAAATCATACTGAACTAACCAATGTGGGGGTTTCAGTGCACACATGGAATGTGAATTTGAGCAGACTGTGTAAAGGACATTTATTACAACACATTTTTTTTGTTTGCTTTTTTCATTATCTTTCTCATTCATTAGAATAAGTGGATTAAAGTTAGTATTATTAAAATGATCAAAATATATTAACACTAATCTAACCTTTAGTACCAACCTAATTATATAGTTTAAGTAAATTTATTTGTTATACATAAAATTTTTTACCCATATTTATTTTTTGTGGTTCAAGCATGTCCCTGAATGCTATTTCGAATAAATCAACTTCTTTGAGTATTTTTTTAGCATATCTGGTCAAATTAAACTTTAATAGCTGGTCATCAGCCATTTCCAGCGCAAACTGCAGCCATAGTTTAGTTATAGTTGCATGGTAACGCATATCTGGGTCAACAAATGTAGTCATGTAGTAGAAGTTGTCATATATGGTGTGGTACACAGGGTATTGTGATCTCTTAGGATGAGCTTTCTTTAATGAATAAAATAATATATATATATATATTTATATATATATATATATATATATATATATATATATATATATATATATATATATATATATATATATATATATATATATATATATATATATATATATATATATATATATATATATATATATATATGTATACACACACACACAAAAATATACTCATGTTAACACACACATATCTATTAATAAATTTTATCTACTAATAAATTTTATTATTATTGTTATTATCATTGTTATTAAAATTAATGAAACTTTATAAAAATGTATCTATTAACTTTATTTAACTTCTGTTAAAAATAAAACATCAAAATAGGAATTTAAAATATTAACTTAACCTTCAAATTTAATTTTTTTATTATTAATTTAATTTTCTGAGATTTTTTCTGTGAAATTTGTGTAATTTTTGGCTGATCATATTGCTAATGATAAACTATTTTTGTTGCTAAAAAATAGAATTGATTTTTACTAATTTCAAGTTTAACTTAATTGAGCTTTACCAAGTGTCTGCCATTTGTAATTTAAATTTTTATATACATTTATATAAAAATAATGATTTAAAATATTACATGTTGCATTTTCAAAGTACTCTTAGGTCCTTAATAGATGGGAAGGAAGGTTAACTTTTTTTCAGAAATTTTTCCTCCCTACTCTATGCTTATCAAGACCTGTTTATTAATTTTTTCTTGTCATCAACAAAAAAACAACATCTCAAAAGTAGAAAAAAAATTCAGAAAAAATATAAATCAGTCACTGATAAGAATAAAAACTTTCAGTGTAATTTAAAAAATTTCCTTTACAAATTCCAGTCAACCAACACATATGGGTACTGTATGGGAGTCGTCCGGGTATCTGGTATGGGATACATGAGGGCTTTTTTTATGGGCTCAGTCTGGGAAAAATATAACACCATATTTATTGCTTTCCCATATGGGAAAACAATAAATATGGTGTTATATTTTTTGATATCAAGGCAGAATTGAAAAAGGTTATTTTCAAAATAAATATGGCTAATTGGTTTGCTACATACAATTAATTTTATTGTATTTTAATTAAAACGATTGATTTTAATTAATTATATATATTTTTTTCATAAAATTATCCATGCTTGTAATAATTTTCTTATTTATAGTTGGATGTTTGTATAGGATTTAAATGTATAGGATACAAATTACAAATTACACTGTTTGAAGCCAAAGTTAAACCAAATGTTAGTTTATAATTAAAAACTTTTTAAATTTAAAAAGTTAGTTAATAAAACTTAGTTTCAAAAGTTAGTTAACCAATTGTTAGTTAAACACGTCTACTGTGATATTACCACTTTAAAAATGGTAATATCACAGTAGAAAAATATAATAATGTTAGTACCATTTATTATTTATTGTTAATCTTTAGTTAAATAATAGTTAAAAAACTATGTGTAAAAAACTAAGTGTTAATTTTTTCTAATAATAGTTTCTGACAAAGATGACTGATAACTGATAGACCCCAAAGCTTCAAATTCCCGGAAAAGATCAAGCAAGTTGATTTATTTGCTCTTAAAGACTTTAACACACATAAACATACACTTGTATATATATATTATATATACACAAATAGAATAAAAAAAATAAGATTAACCTCTTATAATGTTTGATCTAAATTTGAAAGGTCATTTACAACAACCAAAATTGTGCAGCAGTATACTGTCTAAATTTTGATCAAAACACTTGGTAGGTTCACTAGTAGTGGACCTAGAAACTGTGGTCCAAAATATTGCTTGCACTGAATGTAATGATGTAATGGCAATGGTAGTGGCACTACCATTGCCATTATGTCATTACATTCAATACAAGCAATATTTTGGACCACAGTTTCTGGTTTCTCTTGCTACTTCTGACAATTGCTTTGGTGTTAATGATAAAATTATTTTAGTCAAAAACATATTAACTGATAACTAACTAAATATTAAGTATTTTAAACTACCATTTAAAAATGGATTTGTAGTTATTCCACAAATACATTATTTTTAGTATATTAAATAATTTGTTGCAAAAAACACTATTACTATTTAAACACTATCACTTAACTATTTTGTTATATTAAAAATAAATAAAATTATAGTATAATAAAAATATTATTTGACTTCAGAACAGTTATTTATAAAGTTATTACTTTTTCATTATTAGTTTTGTAATTAACCAGTTTTATCATAATTATTTTAATTGATACTTTGTGATTATGATTCATTCTAAATAGTTTTATAGAAACATAATATACTCACATGTACAGGCCTTGGCGGGAAGTGTGAGCTATAGCTCTCATGTCATTCTTTGAGCTTTGATATTTATTATGATACATTACACAATACATTTTATGGTATATTATATTATAATATACTCATAAAATCATTTGAAAAATCTAAGCTCAAAGATTGATACAAGAGCAATAGCTTCCTGGCAAGGCCTGTATGTATGTTGAATAAATACTTATTGTGTCTAATAAAAAAAGTACTCAAATTAGATCAAACATTATAAAAGGCTAGTCATGGTGGTGTATATTTTTAATTCTATTTTTGTGATACAGTACAATTATGTATGCAATAGTTTTATTCTATGAAACTAATACAACAGATAATGTGCCTCTAACTTGGATAAGTGGAGTTGAAATCAATTCACTTTCATCTAGCATTAAAAATAAAGTATCTGTTAAAGTCTTTTGGCTAATTAGGAAAAATTTAAATCCAACTAGTATTGCAAAGGATCTAATGAATTCAGATGCACATTGGCCTTTATATACTGCTAGAATACTAGGAATTGCAGGTAAAATTAATGTTATGCTTTTATAATCATATTTTATTAATATTTTAGTCCAAAAAAAATGTCTCTGTGTTGCAAGTTTAACAAAATAAAAGTTTTTAATGTATTATTTTCCAATTTATTTATAGACAGTCTTACTGAAGGACCGTCAAGGCCAAAAGAGCAGAAGACACCCCTCCAACCTGGATACAACAGAAGAAAATGCATTGAAATGTGTTAAAAAGTAACAATAATTTCAGAAATTAACAATTTAATAAATTATGAAATATTTTTGTTTGTATTTATAAAACTGTTTAGAAGTAAAATGATTAGTTCCTCTGAGAATGAAGAAGAAGATTACGATCAGATTATACCAAGGTTGTTTTATAATTTTATAAAGAATTCTTTACTAATTTTTTTATCTTTTGTTACTGTATTCATTATATTCATTATTTTTATATTTTGTTATTCAATATTTTTCTATCTGCTATTTTTCTACTTCTTTTACAGTTATTTTTACAGTTACAGTTATAATTGAGTTGAGCAATTGTGAATCTAATGTTTTACCAGCTGCAACATAAGACTTTGAAATAGAGAAGTATTGATACAATTATCTAATTAATGGCTATATTTAATGAACTATATATTTTTGCCAGATATGCTGGATGTTTATTATAGGGAAAAACTCAATATTATTGAGTTTTTCTCATGTTCTTTAAGTGTTTATAAAGTAAAAACAAGTGTTACAAAATACAAACACTATTTAATAACTGGTCTTCACGAAACCGCAAAAAAACTATTATAACACTTGTATATTTGCTAATAATCGACAGAAATTAATAACAATAAAAGTATTCGGATATAAAATCTATTATTTTTAGTACATTACCAATACATACGCCAGTGTTATAATATATTTTGTATTTAATAATATGTGTTTTTATTAATTGTTAACTTGTTTAAAGTTATGCTATTGGTTTATTTTAGTATTGAGCTCAAAATTATTTTTTGTAGATGTAACAGTTCAACATCAAAGTTTTCCCGATCGAAAAGTACATTGATAAATTCTGCCTCTGTTCAAAACAAATTATCACCTGTTCAAACAAATAATCATAAATTATTAACAGGTATTTGGCAAATTATATAATATAATGTTAACTTAAATAAATGACTTCTCATTTGACTATATAATTATATATATTTATTCAAAATTATGTTAGTTATGTAAACTATGTATGTATATATATATATATATATATATATATATATATATATATATATATATATATATATATATATATATATATATATATATATATATATATATATTCATTACATTTCAGTACATACATCGACTGACAAATAGCCTGACTCGCAGTGGAGTGCTACTACATATATATATATATATATATATATATATATATATATATATATATATATATATATATATATATATATATATATATATATATATATATATATATATATATATATATATATATATATATAATTCTATTTAGGTGAGTCTGTAAATCTACATATGATTACTAATTTATTAGCAACTGTTATTAGCAATCAGGAAGATATGAAAAAGACTCAAGCAATCCATACAGTACAAATTCAACTAATTCCTTGTAAACTTGATTTAAATAATCATATCTCTGCAGATCTTCCAGAAGGTATTCCACTACCAGCTAAGTCAATTGAAGAAATAGATATTGTAACACAGAAGCTGGAAAATCCCGGAATAAAGAAAATAGTTGTAAAAATAATTACTTTTTAATAAATGATGTAAACAATGTAGTTGTGAACAACTTTTCAATTTTTTAATTTAATTTTTGATTTGTGCACCATAACTTGCATCAAACTTTTTTTTAGGCCAAACATATTGTTAATATAGGTGGAGAAGATTTAAGAAATTTCATTATGAAGTCAATGCCCATGCTGCTAGACCTTGTTGCTTATAGCTTTAATTTGACCGGGCAAAAAAGATAACAAGCTTTTAAAACAAATGCACTTCATTTAGTTCTTTGTAGTGAGTATAAATTTGGTTTATATATTAATTTGTGTAGACCTTATTAACTTCGTTGTGCATTTTGTACATCTCATCATCATCATTTTCAATTTAGCGCCCTTGTTTCCGTGCCTGCAAGGGTTGGACATTTCTCATAATGCCATTTCTCCAACATACACAGCTTGAACATCTTCTTCCCTTAAATGTAGCTTTTTCAAATCTTTCCAAATTTTTCAGATTCTACTTCTACTTTTTTCTCCTGAAACTTCTAACTGTCTACATGCTGATAACCAGTCATCTGCACACTCTACATGCCCAAACCACTTCAATCTTCCCTGATGCATCCTATCAGATACACTCATTATGCCTAATCTTTTTCTTAAATTCCTTTCCAAACGCTGAACATCATAAACATATAGGCAATCATCAGCCATAAAGTACAAAATCAAAAATCGAAAAATCCGTTTAAAAATTACAAATACACTGGAACAAATATATATATATATATATATATATATATATATATATATATATATATATATATATATATATATACATATATATATTTGTGTGTGTGTCGGTGGGTGTGTTTTAATGATATGCTTCTGTTTTATAAATAGGTGCCGTTAAGTCCCAGCACAAAAAATTGTACACAAAAGGAAATCGAAACTTAACTTTCAACATGGTTTGCTAACTTACGGGATCGTGGAAGTAACAGTTGTAGATCTGCTAAAGTTGCTGTCAATGTTAACTTTACTGAAATAGATGCAGATTATCTTACACTGTCAGAAGTTTGGGGACAAATTTGTTTAACATTAAAACTTTTTATTTATAGTAAATAGTTTAAGTAATATCTGTTTGTTTTTTTCTATGTTTCTTGTTCTTTATGACGAGATTGACTTTAAGGCAGAGGATAAATAACGCTTAAATCACGCTTATGAGACTTAAGATACTTGGAGGCTTCTTTTGGGCTGTATTCAGATTTTCCTAGTCGTAACCATATGGGCACCATATGGACTAATTAAATGGGCTACATATGGTAACCATATGGGTTTCCCAGCGGGAACCCTGTATGGGACCCCTGTAGAGCCTATTTGCATCTCCCGCTGGGCTAGCAACGGGTTGCCCATATAGGTCCTGTATCAAAGCCCGTATGGGTCCCATATAATACCCTTATGTGTTGACTGGCTGGGACTGTCCTTCTTTAAAAACTTTCAGTGTAATTTCTTTAAAAATTGTCCTTCTTTAAAAACTTTCAGTATAATTAAAAAAAAATAGCCTTTAAAAATTACCCTCCTTTAAAAAATCTCGTTAACTTTGATTTAAGTTTATTTCTCACCATAAGATAAAAACTTATGTAAGCATATTTAATTCTATTAAATTATATTGAAACAGCTGTTAATGCACACTCGACCGCAAGCCATTCTAAAATTAAATTGTTTATTCATGCTCTGTAAAAAATTCACCCTTTTATTAAGACCTTCCTGTTTATTAAATCTGGACTAAAATTTCCCGGTTTCTCCCTCTTGTATAAAGCATTTGAGAGTACTTTTGTGCAGCAATGTTTCTCATAATACATGTTTCTGTAGACATTAAGCTAAACTTAACAATAAATTTTTTAAATAAGCTTTTAAAACATTAAAGTAAATTTTGATCATGATAAACTTGCTAAATTTGATAAATAGTTGAGTTTTTTTGGGTTTTATGAGAACAAGGAAAAGCTTTTGATTTGTCATAAAAATCATAGTTTTAGTCAATCTTGATTTCCTTAATCTAAATTTGAAGTTAACTGTAAAAATAAACTGAAAATAATTTATATAAAGAACACAAAATTTTCATTTTGATGATAAACAAAGATTACTAACCTCATTGAATGAATACCTAAAGTCAATAGAAGGAATGCCAATCACAGAATAAAAGTAAACATAATCACTGCCAGATTCCAAATCTGAGTACCTTAATGAAACATAATTAAAGCATAATTAAGACACGATTAAAACATAATTAAGAAAATTTTATAAATAAACAAACTTTTAAATTTATTTGCACTAAAAATCAAAATACACTAAAAATCAAAAATACACTAAAAATCAAAAAACACTAAAAATCAAAATAACAATGAAACTTATAACCATCTCAACAACTAATGCATATATATATATATATATGTATATATATATATATATATATATATATATATATATATATATATATATATATATATATATATATATATATATATATATATATATATATATGTTTGATGTTTAAGGGTGCCACAAGACTCTTAAGCATCAAGCCCCTAATATTATCAAAAAAAAAAAAAGTTTTTCAAAAGTATTTCATGTTGGATCTCAAACGAAGCCAAATTTCAAAAATATTTATCATGTTATAATTTAATTTTCATTCCAGATTTTAGTGAGCTGAAAATTACGTTTTTAACTAAAAACAAAAAATAGGGAATATATATATATATATATATATATATATATATATATATATATATATATATATATATATATATATATATATATATATATATATATATACACTAGTTTATTACTGCTTTGTCCTTTAAAAACATTAAAGCACTCTTTATGAAAAAAACATTAACATATATGATATAATTTATTTAATATTTAATGAATTTTTTGAAGTTTATATTTTGTGTTAAAACTATATTGTTTGCTGTTTAAAAAAACTTTAAACACTTTATTATCAGTTTAAAAAGTCTAACTCTAGTATTGTCTAATAAATTTAGCTACACTATTGTTGTTTACCTCGGCTCAGTAGGATTATTTTGATTTGGTAACTTATCTCTCCAATTTGAAAATAAGCTTTTTTCTTTTTTCTTTGGGTCTTCATTTTCAAACAAGTTGGTGTTAATAACAAATAAATTTCTTTTTGCTGCCTCTTCATTTATATAGTCTGGATCAATTGTCTTAACATAAAAAAAAACTGTTAGCAATAACTTAATGCCAATTCACTCTCAAAAGATAAATAAAAAAATTTAGTTAAATTTAAAGAACACATTAGGAAGAAAAAAATAATAAAAAAATGTGTTGTTCAAAGTTTTCAAAGTAATTAATGTTTATAATGTAAATTTTTAAATTGTGAACAAAATAACATCATGAAAGTAACCAACACGAAAAATATTTACAATTATATCTTAATGTATGTTAATGAACTAAATTCTTAGGTATGTCTTTCAGAATGATAAGGTTTGTTTTTTTTAGAGTTGTCAGGTATTTCAGAGTTTTAGCACTTATTGCCAATAGAAATAAAAACCTAAAAAATAACTAGATTGAACTTAAATTGTGCTTGTAATAGACTATACAACTTATATTTCACTTGCAATTTTTTTCTTGATCACGCTTGCACTTTGGTTTCATGTTTTTGATTACTTCTTTACAATTTTAAAAAAATATAAATTTAGTACAATGTAACAAATAAATTAAAAATGCAAGAAAAAAACACATTACCGCTTTGGAAATATCAAACATTTTATCAATAATTGAAGGTGAAGATTTTGCACGAAATGTGTAAGTACCTAAAAATAAATTTTTGATGACTTTTTTTTTTATAATTTTTTTTTCAATTCTTCAAAAGAATCTTAAGCTTACAATTGAACAAAATAGTTAAAAAATAAATAATAAAAATAAATAATGAAATATAAACTCCCTTATTAACTAAAATTAAATAAAAATTCACATTTTCATTAAAACAGAGTTTACAGTATAAGATTTTATTTTGTTATTTGTGTCAATTAATTAATTTTATATAAGATTTATATAAAAATAATTGATTTATATAATTTTAGTGTGATGCTGTGCTAACTATTGAGAAAAAATCTTAAACAACCATAAATCTTTTAATCAACCTAAACCAAAACTATAAACATTTTATGTACCCTTTTTTGTAAATTTTGTAAATTGTAAATTCAATAATTTTTTATAATTTTATATAATTTTTAAATTCAATAATAAAACAATAGTAGTTTCAATAGCAACTTCAATAAATTAGCATAATTATAACATCCTTTTATAAAAAAGGATAGCAAATGATCAACAATGATTTGCAGCTTTTACTGATTATGAAATCTGTATGATTTCGTAATCAGTAACTAATGCAATATATTATTGATATTCCATTACATATTCTTTAATATGAAGCAAAATATTTTTCTGCAAATTTAAAAAACAATGAAAAACATTACAATTAACTCTGTTATTAAAAGTTTATTAGTTATGCAAAATTATGTATATTATGCAAATTTATGTATATTATGCAAATTTATGTATATTATGCAAATTTATGTATATTATGCAAATTAACACTAAAAAAATTAATAAATAAAAATCATAATCTTGAATATTTTGGAAAAATAAAAAAAATTAAAACAGAGTTTTTATAATTCAAAAATTAGTATTTCAATAAAAAGTAACTTCCTACCTGAAACAGCTATATCTACATTTAAATAAACAACTGCTCTCTGAGACAATACTGAATAAAATTCCTAAAAAAGAAAGCGTTAAATATAAAACTATTATTGTACATTTTATATCTGATATACTGTAATAATAGCATATGCTGTAATAATATCGTATAGTATAATAGTATTGCATACTGCAATAAAATTATATTTGCTATTTTTTTCTTCTTTTATTTCAATATTTTTACTCATTATAAACAGTAAATACTTTTTAAAGCTTTTTTTTATGTTTGTGTAAGAGCTACATTTTTGATTTTTATTTGTTTTTATTTTTGTGCTTGAAAGTTTATTTAAAGTGTAAGTACCCATTTTTTTCTGTTGAACTGAAAACTTTTGTGCTTTTCACTTAATGGTTTCTTTTAATGATGTATTTTTATTGATACATATTACATATATAATAGTATTTTTTATATGATATATCAGATCACTTAAATTGTTTTTATTAAGTTTGTATTATAAATATTATATTTATTAAATCACTTTTTTTTTTTTTAAACAAATTGTTTTTGTCTCAGGTTATGTTTTATCAGTATACAACTGTTTGTAAGTTTCTTTGTCTATGTATATACATAGACAAAGAAACTTACAAACAGTTTATACTGATAAAACATAAGTTTATAAGTTGTTTGTAAGTTTCTTTGTCTATGTATATGTATATATATATATATATATATTTATATATATATTTGTATATATATTTATACATATATATATATATATATATATATATATATATATATATATATATATATATATATATATATATATATATATATATATATATATATATATATATATATATATATATATATATATATATATATATATATATATTAGTTGGTGATCAGTTTCTCCTGCATGCTATAATCATTATAAAAATTTTATTTCATACTTCATTTACCTTCATACTTCAATATCTTTCATACTTAATTTACCTCAGACTCACCTATGATCACATTTCTAATGACCTTAAGAATAACTGGGACTCATTTTATGATTTTTTATGATGTCTAATATCTCTCTGCTAAATTTAGGACCTTTTTTATAATCTCCTGGATTCAGATTCAGGTATGGAAGCTTTTATTTCAACTTATCTGTTTTAAATCAAGTCTTACTCTACCTCTAATTTTCTCCTTTGATCTTATTTGCTTTTCCAAGGATAAAGCAGAACCTTTTGCAAACAATGTTTCCTTCAAGTCATCTCTTTAATCTAATGGTAACACTCTTTCTGTCATACCAAAGTAACAGATTAATCAACTTTTAGACATAATTTACTCCTGCTTCTGTTGCTAATGTTATTTCCCATTTAAAATCTTCTTGGCTTGTGGTCACAGTCAAAAACTCTCTTCATTAACTTCTAAACTACTAACAAAATCTCAAAAACTATTTTCTTTTTTTGTTAGTACACTGAAACATCTGAAAAACATCCAAATTTTAGGCCATTAAAATCATTAATATTCATTAGATCAAAAATAAAAAATATCAATTTATTTACAACTTAGTATGGATTTGGATATCAATTTATTTACTATTTTGAATAAAACATTCAACAAAAAATATTTAGTAAAAATTGCTCACTAAAAAAGTAGCATGAGTCCATATGCAACAAAAGTTTACAAAAGCTGGTTTTATAGCAAAATTTTACATTTTTGTAATAAAAATAATTTGTAATACTGCAAGTTAAGTTAGTTTACTACCTAGCTTAAATAAAGCTTGTTTTCCTGTCTGCTGGAAAATGATTTCAGTGGTTCCAATTTTTTAATAAAAATTTATTGGGCATCAGATGGAAACAGTAAAAGAGCTAATTAGATGGAAACAGTAAAAGTGCATTAGATGGGAACAAGAAAAGACTGATGGTTTTTGCATATAAAAGATATTTAATAAAGTCAGACCTGCTGATCATCTCCATAGGCTTACTTCATGAAAGTCAGAATTATGAAAAACGTAAAAGTACAAAGAATTCTTTTTTAATGTATACTTCAAATCAAACTTTTAAAATAAACTTGTTTATGAAACAAGTATCTATCAGTCCACCACTACTGATGATGAAAAGTCATTACTTTTTGAATGTTTAGAACATATATATATATATATATATATATATATATATATATATATATATATATATATATATATATATATATATATATATATATATATATATATATATATATATATATATATATATATATATATATATATATATATATATATATATATAGGCTTCATTCATTCAGCTGTTTACTGCTAATAATTATTCCATTGATTAATTAAATTTAATAATAAATTAAAAAAAATTAAATTTAAAAACAAATTCCATTATTTTTGATAAATATAATTGCATCCAGTATTGATAAAAACTCTAACTTAATCCTTTACTATATGTCTTCTCGGATTATCATTCACTACTGACTCTTTTTACTTCTCAAGGAAACAATATATAAAACTCATCGCAGAATTAGCATACCCTAAGGTTGCTGCTCTTAATATATAAATCTCTTGTTTAGCCTATATGTATGGAGTACTGTTTTCATATTTAGGCTGGTTTTTCTAATGAAGCCCGATTTCTTTTAGACAAGTTTTAAAGCTTTGTAAATGTTCTTGAGGTTGTTCTACCTGCTAAGCTTGAATTTGTTCCATCATCGTGTGGTTGCACTCTTTCTCTTTTCTACAAAAACTTCCATGGTTACTTTTCGAATTATCATCACTTTGCTTTCTTTGTTACTTTCATCTACTTTACTGTCTAGTTAGTTTAAGCCAAATTAGTGGCTGCATGCAACCCATGCAATTTTTAGTTCCTAACAAGTTAAGAACAAAAAATTCCATAACTAAAAAGTACTAGTTGTATACATTAAAACAACAAATAATTAATTTTTACTTGTGCCCACTCAATAGAACCCATCAAACCATATTCTTCTGCATCCCAACTGCATAGCATAATAGTTCTTCTAGGACGCCAACCTAGATTAATAATTAAAAACAGCAACATTAAAATACAATTTACATCTTATATGATAAATATTTTTATCTGGGTCAAAAGTTAAAGACCAAATACAAAACAGGTTTTATTATGAAATTGTAAACAAATGTACAATTTTATTTAAATAAACAGCAGTAATATATAAGTATTATTTTATTAAAATTTAAACTGTTTTAACATGTATAATCATTTTGTTTCATTAAAAAAATATATAAATATGTGAAAATGTAGAAATGTAAAAACAATTCTGAAAAGGTATATCATTTTTAATATTTTTTATTTGGAAAAAATTTAAATAATTTTCTTGGTAGGTAATTTTAAGTAAGTATACCAATCTCATTTATAGGAGAATGTATTAAATTAACTTTAACCATAATTACTTTTATTGTTTTATGTTTAAAAATAATATCTGCTATTTAATTATTGACACACTGGAATGATCTTAAAAATATAAAGATTGATGATTGAAAGAAAAACAGGCTGTTGACTATTTTTAAACAAGGTGTTAACTATTTATGAAGGAGGTAGAGACACATTCTACTGCAGTTTATACTGATGAATAAAATTGAATAAACAGTTAATGAAGATTGTTTTGGAAGAGCTCAGAGTTAGTTTATCATGGGAGCAAATTCTATGCAAATTTCTTATTGCAGAGATAGAAAAGGAAATAATAACTAAAACCTCTGCGTTGACAAGTTAAAATAGAAGCAGAAGGGGTTGGAAACTAAGCAGAAAGATTTAGGATAATGTTTTGATATCTAACATTAAGAAAAATATTCAAGAATCAGCAAGTACAAAATATTAGAAAGTGGAACAGCTGATAAATCTGCAGTGTCCTTTTTGGTCCTTCACAAGCTGATAAATCTTCAGTGTCTAGAAAAAGAGTTAGAGCTAACTCCTTTCCTCACACCCCATAATTATCAGCTTGTGAAGGACCAAAAAGGACAAGAGTAAGTTGTACAAAAGCCAAGTTAAAAGATTTGATTTAATTTCTAACAGCAATTTTAATTAATACCAAAAGAACAGAAAGAAAATGGTCATCTGATGGATGTATGATTCTAAAAGAAAAGAAGCAACAAGCTTTCATTAAGAAAAAAAGATTGTTTATACCAAAGAAACAATATAAGAAATGTCCAATTTGTGGATACACAAAAAAAAAAAAGCTGATAATGACAAGGAAGCAGATAAATATAGGCAATTTACAGCAATTCAGAAATCACAACACAAAAATAAACATTTAAGTGAAAAAAATATATAATATAATAATATCTCTAAATACAAGACAAGAAATTTTTTAAGTTGAGTTGCTGTCTGAAATACTTTAAAATAATAATAAAAAAAATTTTCCATTTCTGCAAAAGATTGGACAATTGATGATTTTGCAAAAGTACTTTAGAATGACAAAAATTAAAATTTACATTCACCAAGGCAACAAAAAGAAAATGTTTCTTAAGTGCATAACATCAGACTCTATCATGGTTTGGTTGTCATGGTTTCTATAGTTTTAGAGTCTAACAATAGTTAAAATTGATATTACCATTAAAATAAAGAGGAACATAAATGTATTCTTAAGGACAATAAAGAATTATTTAGCTCACAATTGAATGGTACTAAAAATTTAATGGTAATGGAAATCATTAGCAATATAATGATCTCATGACTACAAGCAACTTGTTTGGAATCATGATTCACTGATTTTTCAAATACTTCTACATGTTCACTTGTGTTAATTTTTTTTTTTTATAATGGTCTCAAACTTTGGGCCTGCAGTGTAGCTTTAAGATTCTATTTAGTAATTTGATGCTTATTTAGTTCAGTAGTCAGTTTGATACAGTTTATTTAGTGAAAAAAAAGAGATAATTTACCTTCAGCTAACATAGTTGAAATAACTCTAGCTGTTTCCATTAATACAGCTGTTCCACTTGATGGATCACCTCCACCAAAAACCCATGCATCTCTATGGTTACCAACAAGAATAATGCGATCTAAATAGATTTAATGATTTATTTAAAAAAAATTTAACTCTATATAATAATTGAAAAAAAATAACAACTAAAAAAGTAGAAGAGCCAAACTAAACAATAAAACAATAAAAAAAATACAAGAACTGTATTAACCTGGTTCAATGTCTCCTTTAATTGTTGCAACAACATTATATATAGGTCGAACTTCTTTAGGATTATTAACAATTAATCGTATAGTTCTAGGGGAAAAAAAGTTACGCTGTAACAACTAAAGTATTTTTTTTTTTTTTTTTTGACAAAATAACAACTATAATCAAGTTATAATAAATTACAGAAAAACTACACAAATTAAATAGTAAAAAAGACTGATGAATTGAATAACAGAAATTCTAAATAAAGTTTATTAGGAAACTTCGAAGGTAAAAAAAATTACTTTGGGTTTCTGGATAAGTTTAGCACTTTATGTTTAAGTGCTATTAATTCTTCAGAAAAGTACTCAAGATTAATTTCTTGATGTTAAAAAATGGGTGGCAAACCTGACTTTAAAAACCTCTTCAAATTACTTCTTTTACAACTACAATTGATGCATGATTCTTATTGAGAACTTTCTTTCCAGCTGGATTTCATATTCGATTTTTTAAATTAATTCATTCATTCTTGTGTACTATTTAAATCTTTTTATATATTTAATTTATTTTTTCCTGCATCTATAAGCATAAACTGCATAATGGTATGATACCATATGTGTGAAATTACATACAAATATTGTAAATGTATTAAGATTTGCACATATTTAAAAAGTTGGATATTAATATTTTTTAATTGTAGTGATGTAACTAATGAACTATTTTAGTAAACGTATACATTATTCATAATATAATGTAATATAATATAATAATAAATTAAATATAATATAATGTAATATGTTTATAAACAGATGTAATTGACAGAGTTACTTTTTTCTTTGCAAAAATTATTTCAATAGGACAGCAGCTTTTTTTTATTTTCTATTCAAGAAAAATAAAATAATGGAAGAAAGGTTTCATTGTTTTATTATGCAATCTCTGGCAATCAAATATGTTGATTCTAAAAATTTATGGCTTTTTTTAAATTTTTTAAAATTGTTTTTTTTTTTCAATAGATCATGAAAAAATAACTATGGTTGACTGTTGACTTTTTTAATACAATATAACTATTATACAATATTAATTTTTTAGAAAAATCCAATGTTGATTGAAAACTTCAAAAACAGTAATACTGATAAACACATTTGTTTCAAAAGTTAACAAAAAAAAAAGTCATTTGTTTTTGTTTACTTTTTAAAAAGGGTCAACAATCATGACCGTTGATTACATGCTTGGTCTTATATATCTATGTACTCAAGGATTATGATTTCAATTTAAATTTCAAAGCCAAGGGTCTTAACTGACATACAAAAACTTAGCTCACTCATTTCTCTAATTGATCCTGTTTGCATACCTGCATTCAACAGCTATACAAAAAAGACAACTCACAAAAATTTCACAAAATGCCAAGAATTATAAAATTTGTATAGACAGCTGAAAAAAGAACTGAAATTTCTACCTACCATTGAATGGAATGGTTTTTATTAACAATGATATTATTATAATCATAGTGAAGAGTTAGCATTAATTAGCAAAAAATTCTGGCATTTCCAATAGCAATGCTTCACAGAAGACTGTCATTCGAACTCATTCATTTATTCAAATTCATTCATTTGTTTTGATGAATTAAATGTTTTTCTATACATCAAAATCATATTTTTTGAGTTCAATGAAATTATTTACAGTTAGAGTTCAAAATTATATTTTTTGAATTCATCTTCAGAATTCACAGCACTAATCTCTAGCTAATCTCTAGCTAAATTGTCACAATCTTGTTTTGTTTTGTTTTGTGATGAAAAAAATGGTAAATTGTAAAAAAATCTTTGGCTGCTATTTTAAAAGGGCAGCCAAAGACTTTACACCTTGTCTTTTTTGTTCATCATTTCAATTTCATCTAGATTTTAAAATGAACTTTCATCAGAAATTTTTTTTAAACACTAATACACTTATAACTGCAATTATCCACTAATTAAGTCAAAAGTTAACAATCAACTACTGCAATCAAATCACTAATCAACTTGAACATTAAACAAAAAGAGAGAATTAAAGACCAAGGAAGTAAAATAAGATTTATTTTACTTCCTTGGTCTTTAACTAAAAAATAAATTTTATATTATTTGACTTATATAAAATTTATATTGTTGTGTCAACAATAAAAAAATATTGTCCGTGTTAAGAAAACATAAAGATGAGGGAAAATCTAAAAGCACTGATGTTTGATGAAAAAAACTAGATGAAAAAATGTTTTTTGAGTATGGAAATAAGAGATTCAACCTTACAACAATGAAACAGAGGCTTAAGCTTGACAGCCAGAGCAGATCCAACAACATTTACAATGCATTTTTAGACTTTGTCTAAAAGAGAGAGGGCCTTATTAGAAAAACCAGCCCAAATAAGAAAATGATGCTCCATATAAGAAGAAATATGAGATTTATAGAGGTAGAGAATGGAATTAGGAATAAGAAAATGGCAAGTACAAAAAAAGAAAGGCAACCTTATAAGATACTAACTTTCAAATGAATTATTTATTTGATTTCTATATAAGATAAGCAATCAAGAATAATCCAAGAAGACAATACCTTTTTGCATTTCTTGCAATGAAAAGAAGTTCTTTTTTGTTTAAAAGAGAACTTCTTTTCTTTATTTTGTGGAAAAGATGAAAGAAATAATTACAATTAAAAGTTGCACAAGATGTGGAGTAGAGGTTTGCCTTGAAACTGACATGTAGATATAAAATGTCTGCCTGAACCCAGGAAATTATATAGGAGGCTCAATTTTCGGCAGAAAATAAAAAAATATTAGTCCATAGGCCATCTCATTAAGAAAACTATGAAAAGAATCCGAATCATTAAAGTAGTTTTAATAAGTAATCTGATGAATCAATGAAGAAGATGAAAAAGTAATCAAGAAGAACCTGATGTAAAAAAAATACAAGAAGGTTTTATTGAGATCATAGCATGATCTGACCTTAAGTGGAACAAAGATAAACTAAGCACAGCCTAGAATCAGAGACAAGACACAAATCAAAGAGTGAGGATAGATAATTACAATAGAAAATAAGTTTAAAAAATAGTTTAATAGGATTCAAGCTTGATTTCCCAATAAATAGATGATTGATACATAAGCATATACTTAGACCTAACATGTGATTAATGAGTCTTTGGAATTCAAAGGATAATAGCTATTAACACTGAGATCCGAAGATAAAATAGCAATAATTTATAATACTCTTAGAAAAAGCAAATAAGTCTGGTGAACTCTAATTCCTTAAAGAGGTAAGATTCAATAGTCGAAAAGTTACTTCAAAGATCTCAAAAATTTGAAAAAAAAATAAATTGAAATGATTTAGTGATAATGTTGGCTTTTTTTTTGTTTAACATGTTTAGATTATTCATGTTTTAAATTAATAATTTTATTATTAATTTATTAATTTTATTATTAAACAATTTTTTTAAACTTTTCTCATTATTATTATATATCTTTATTATTAAACAACTAATTAATTTACTAAATTAATAACTTTATAAAATTAATAACATTATTCAATCATAAATAGTGCATGACGTTCTAAGCAATAAGCTATGGAGTTATCATATTCCTTTTAACCAACCCAAAGTCATAATAAAAGACACCTTATGTTGTGGCCACAAAAAAAAACTAAAAGCACTAACAAGATACTAGCTTTCCCTGCTAAATATTGTTAATACTATGTTATTTCAGTAGCATTTCTGAGAGCTACCACACTTAAAAAATCTTACTTATCAAGACTCATAACCATAAAACTAAGTTTTAAAGCCTTATTAGAAAATAGCAGAAAGAGTTGCATAGTCATTACTAAGAAGACACAAAAAAAATCCAGTGAAGAAGATTGGCAACCTTGGCAGGAAACAACGTAACACAGATTTATGTCTGTATAAACTGTATCTTTATAAAAAGAAGTAATTAAAAGAGTTACTGACATTCTATTAGATAAAGACTTTGCCTAGCAGGCCTTCTGCAAGACAGTAGCTGAGTACTGTTATTATTTTCCCAGGATAACACAAAAGAGATAATACACAAATGAGATTTTGTCTCTAGTAAGTAAAAACTGAAATATCAAAAGCTAACACTTATATGCTACAAACTTACAACTGCTTTTAGAGTATTTTATGTGTACCATTCTAAATAGAAACCTCATGTGGACCATATAATTACATTTACCCTTAACTCTCAACCCTAAAACTGAAAAATTACAAATCTTGATGAACAAATTTGTAATTTGCAGAATCTGATAAACACATCTGATAAACAGCAAATTAAAACAAGTTGAGGGCAATACTACCAAGTTCAAACTCTGTGACTCTTTACAAGGAATATGGTTCCGTCTCAGTGAATCTTACTTACAAAGCAAGCTTTTTACCACTGGGACATTATCAAACATATTCATTACAATGACAGTAAAAATGACCAAATGCTAAATATCTCATTGCATTAAAATCTAAAACCTTTACAATTTAACCCATTTTGGTTAGTGAGCATATGCCTACTAACTCCATCGTTGTTTTTTTTCAGAACTTTTTAAAAGTTGGATGAAAAAAAAATATTAATATAACCAACTAATAATAAAAATAATTTCCTATAGATTGATGAACAATATAAGTTAATTACCTTGGTGTTTTTGAAATAATTCTGTATGTTATGTTTAATCCTCCATCCCATTCAGGTTCATAAACATCACCATCCATGAATCTAAAAGTATATAGTAAAATAATTAGATTCATAAATGCCTCTTTTATAATACTAATACACCCCACACACACACAAACACACACACACATATATTTATATATATGTATGTATATATATATATATATATATATATATATATATATATATATATATATATATATATCTATATATATATATATATATATATATATCTATATATATATATATATATATATATATATATATATATATATATATATATATATATATATATATATATCTATATATCTATCTATATATATATATATATATATATATATATATATATATATATATATATATATATATATATATATATATATATATATATATATATATATATCTCTATATATATATATCTCTATATATACATATCTCTATATATATATATATATATATATATATATATATATATATATATATATATATATATATATATATATATATATATATATATATATATATATATATATATATATAAATATATATAAATATATATATATAAATATATATATATATATAAATATATATATATATATATATATATATATTTATATATATATATATACAAATATAAATAAATATATATATTAGGATGGGTCATTTTCTTGTTACAGGGTCTAAACATTGCTAATAGTTGTTAATATTGATACTATCAAATATGAGAATGATTGTAATAGATTTAAAGGGCGCAACTTTATTGGGAAAATTACCGGTACCTTAATATTTTGGAGAAAAAAAGCTTTTCAAAAGTAGGTCAACCTGGTACTCAAAAGAAGCGAAATTTTATAAAAAAATTCGAAAATAATAATCGTTTTATAAAAATCATATTGCCGAAAAAAATTGTTTTAAAAAAACATGTAAAAATGCACCTTTTTCACTTTTCGTTACAAAACTATAGTTATTATGCAATAAAATCTAAAATAGTAATTTTTATATGAAAAAATTATTATTTTTAAAATTTTTATAAAATTTCGCTTTATTTGAGTACCTACATCACATAATTTTGAAAAACTTTTTCTTTGAATAAAAATAGGGCCTGCTAATTTTTATAATTATAGTTGACATTGTTCATCCATAAAAGTAAATACTTTCCTAAATTAGTACATAAAAAAACAACTTTCTAGACCATAGCTAGGTTAGCATATATATATATATATATATATATATATATATATATATATATATATATATATATATATATATATATATATATATATATATATATATATATATATATATATATATATATATATATATATATATATATGTATAAACCATGACCCCCACAAACCAAGACCTTATGCTTTTTGAAAATATTTTTTCTTTGCAAAATCTTTTAAGATAATTTTAAAAAATTTAATTTTTCATATATCTGCCTAACTTCCCCAAAGCTGTAAGATGTTACTATACATTGGCACTGTCAATTTGAAACTAATTTGGGCCATGTACCAGGGTCATCAAGAATTATCTCTGTTTTTGATTACATTAGAATCAGAAGTATCATCTGCATTTAATTCTTTTTTCTGCCACACCATCATTAGACTTGTGTCTCTTGTGTCTTGTCCATCAGAAGCAGTCGATCCATGCGCATTTCCTTTTTCTGATTTTTCACCTTGAATCTATTTCAAAATGATCTTCAGCTCTGAAATCAATGCTACAGCTCTCTGTGTCCCCAATATAACCATTAGAAGAATCTGCATTTCCATATCAGAAAAATTAGGTTATTGATTGGTTATTAAAAGATTCTTTTGATCTTATCTTATTTTTAAGTTTTCTATTTTGAGCTCCAGATTTATGTTTGTAATTTGAGTTTGACATGGTGTTAGAGTAACTTGCCAAAAAATCTACATTTGACATGGTGTTTGAATAACTTGACAAAAAAATCTAAAAAAATAACTTTTCTTTGAAAAAGCGACATCATTTAAATCCTGAACAACATATATATCTTTTAAGAAAGTAAAAATTTTTGGAACATCAGAATCATAATATTTTCAAATGATATATATGTCTGAACTCAAATAATTTCAGAATAAACTACTTCTTGTTTTAGTTTATTGATTTGATAACAAAGTTCAACTAATGTAACTAATGTAAAATGATTAACCTGAAAGATTATGGACCAAATTATGCTAACCAATCCATTAACAAAGAAAAAACTATTATATGAGAAAAATGCGGGAATTAGTTTACACAATGGTCCGCACAATAGTTAAGACCATAACACTCTTAAGTGCAAATACAAATGTTAATCAACTTGTTAACATTATCAATTCTCATAGGTTAAACCACTTCAAAAAAAATCTTATGAATATAATCTTATGTAACTTATGAATATAACTTGAATATTATGGATATTTATAAAAAAACAAATTCAAAAAACTATTTAATTAAAATAAATATTTTTAATGCAGTTATGGGAAAAAAGATCTGACCTCTCACTATTTATAGCAAAAAACTATATTTTTTTACAGCATAGAGAAGGCATTTATTTTTTTATTTAGTTTTAATTCAAAAAATAGCATAAATTAACATAAAAAAATTAAAAAGTCCTGGTAAAAAACATGTTTTAGTACTTTGTACAAGCTTTTAGAACAACTTTTATTTATTGCGATGAAGCAAAAAGAGACTCACAGTATATTGAAGCAAAAAGATTTTATACAATAGTTTCAATAGGGTTATAATTGGGTGAATTCTTGAGCCATGAGATAATAACATTGTTTAATGAAAACCAAGTAAACACATTTTTCTTCAAAACTTCCATACACTTTGCAGAAATTTTAAAAAAAAGCATCGCTTTATTGCAGCACAATTAAAGTTTAAAGTCATTGGCATCTTCAAAGTGCTCACTAACATTCATACTAGGAGACGGTTGAGTAAGTATTTGTGAGCTCAAAATCTGTATATTCATCACATAACAAACATTGTATTGTGTCAATTTTTAGAATGGTAATCTTAGTCTTCCAAAGAATTTTTCTGGGGTAATGCCGTTATAAACAGATGTCTTAAACATTTTAAATTGCAGCATTCGTTCAGACTTGCTGTCATTCATTAAAAGTTGTACTTGTTGTTACATGGTTTCAACATCACATTTGGCAAGTGATATTGAAACCATGTTTTTTAAATGATAAATTAAATTCAAAAAAATATTTAAAAATATTCTAAGATAAAGACTCTAAGATAATACAAATGATTGAATTACACATAATTTTGATGCATATTGAGCACATAAGATATTTTCTCTATTGGTGATAACTATACAATGTGCAGCACATGGTTATTTAGTATGTTCTCAGCATGCAAGTTTTGCACTTATAAGTAACCTATAAAAATTGTGAGAAGTCAGATCTTTTGGACAGTAACGTTATGTATATCATTATGTATATATTATATATTTCATGTAAAAGATTTTTTTGTTACAATTTACAATATACAAATTTTAAAAGATAAAACTAATTCAAAAAAAGTATCTATTTTAATTTTTTTTATTTTAGGTGTCTCAAGAAGTCCTTATGGTCTTATCACAGGGTACCGCGGAGGAGCATTTGAAAGGAAGTTCATGCCTCAATTCTTACTGATGTTATAAAACTTGCACAGAGGTGGCGTTGAAATAAAGTAAATAAATATTTTAATGCCTTGAAAATAAAGTATAAAAATTTCAATTAGTAGCGACATAGTAGCACGAATTAAATGTTTTTCAAAAATAAAAACATAAATCTAAATATGATAAAAGCATCTATTTATAATTTGATTAATTGGTTACTGATTACTGATCAATGAAATAATTTGTATAATCTATGGAAATATAATGAGCTACAAATATGCAGAATAAATGACTAAAAAAAAATCATAAAATTTTATATCATTTGAGGTAAAAACTAATGATTTTTTTACAATATTTGTATGTCCATATCTTATAGTCAAAAATTGACAGTAAAAAACTGATTCGACTACAAAAACTTTAAAGAAGAATGTTTACACACTGTGCTATTTTATAGTTATATATCTTGTTATGGATCATTTTGTAAATATTCCATTATTAAAACCATACTCATAACTATTTGCTTCTTGTAACTTGTTATTAAACTTTTAATAACAAGTTACAAGAAGCAAATAAAAAAAAGTCCTTGAGAAGAAAAGTGAGGGAGCCAGTGTCCCCTAACCACTCCCAAGTGTCATCGGCCCTGCATTTTGACATAAATATGTTAAATAATACCATGGAAGCTTAACAATTACTTAACTTAAATGTAAACTTAATAACAATATTTAAAGTTAGTAAAATAGATATTCAGCTATCCAGATCAAATGATAAAATATTAACTATACCCAATTGGATGTATGTATCAACCAAATAAGTAAATGCTAAACAATTTTAAACACAAACTTTTAAGGAGTATTTCAAATCATAAGAACACAAAAATTTATACACAAACTTTTAAGGATTGTTTCAAATCATGAGAAAAAATGCAGGCAAGATATGCTAAGAAGACTTAACATTGGAATTAAATAATTAAAACAGATTTTGAGTTTAAACATGTGATTTAGAATTACTTCCCTAAGATATTTTTTTTTTTTTTTTTTTTTTTTTTTTTTTAACATCTTCACTTCCAACAAGGCTGCAAGCAACCACTATAAGAGTTGGAAGTTACTGGAAGAGAAAAGACTAAATCTGTAGAGCAAGATAACGATTGACTGATGACTTAAAAGATTGCAAATTATATGAATCAGGAAAGCAAGATGAAGGAAGCGAATTCCAAAGAACTGATGTTCGAGGAAAAAAACTAGAAGAATAAGAGTTTTTGAAGCACTTAGGAACAGTCACAGAAAAAGGATGAGACTTAATTGAATGGCGAGTAACACGAGAATGAATTTTAGTAGATGGCACAAGGGACGCTAGCTCTTTAGAGCAGTGCCCATTATAGTATTTGTAGAAAAGAGAAAGAGAAGCAACATTACGACGATGTGACAAAGGTTGGAGATTG